AATAATTCTTCATTCATGTATGGTCTCCAATTAAACTGTAAAATTACAAAAACATAAAATTTATTTAAATCAAATAATATAGTTAATTTAAATAATAATTAAAAAAATACAAATTATGCCTACCTCTTTTTGGCCTTAATGTCGTCTTCAACCTGAACTCTTTAATGTTGTTGTGCACAACCCTGTGCCTTCAATTTTATGCCCTCCATCTGTATACAATCAAAACAAAATAGAGACATTTGTTCAATAATTTTAATCAAATAAATATTTTTTAATTAATATTTTATATTAAAATAGAGGATTCATATTACCTTCCGGCAAGTGAAAGTCACCGCAGTCCGACTAATCGGTGTCAAAAACGGAAGTCTATGCCAGCCCATGATTGTAGCAGCAACAGACATCCACCGATTTCTACTGTATTATTATCATTCACGACTAATGACGCCTTGCACATCTCACGATACAAGAACGCCAATATCGCCGAACCCCAGCTATATTGCCTACAATTCTCAAAATTTGTTAAAAAAAGAAGATACTGAGTGTGAACATAACTACCGGATTTATCAGGCATCAAAATTCCCCCAATCATTGTAATATATGCTCGGTTGCATATATAATTTCGTGCTCCATACTATGTGATTGAAGTTGAAATTCATTCTTCAACCATGACAACCTCACTCGCCACCCTTTACACTCTGGTGTACGGGCGCTTTCCCAAGAAACAAGTTGCAAAGTTGTTCCACCTTATTAAACTCATGTGACATTACCACCGGCATCCCATTAGTTTGGACCCCGAGTTGCATTGCCACATCCTCCAAAGTTATCGTGCATTCGCCACACGGCAAATGAAACGTGTGCGTTTCTGGTCTCCAACGTTCAATCAACGCACTGATCAAACCTGGACCAACTTGTAATCTCGCACAAATGTTATATACCAAAATCCGCCTCTTGCAAATTTTCTTCTATTAGTGGGTGTGGCTTGGGCACTTTATGTAGTCGAAGACGAAGGACTCGCTGCTCGTCCTCCTACAATTAAATATTTCAAAAAATTATCACAATCATAAAATAATATTCAAATATTATTAATTATAATTCATTAAACAAATATTTTATTCACCATTATTCCCAAATGACTTGAAATATGTTCATTGTCAAGCCTCAACAGTGGAATTTGGTCAGCCATTAGAATGAATCTGTAAAAAAATAAACAACAATATTTAAAAAATCATTTAATATAATCTAATATAAACTAACTAACTAATTTACAACACTAAACTTTAATATAATAACTTATAATATAATAACTAATAAACTAACAAACTAAACTTTTTAAATATAAATTAAATGTAAACGCTAAACCTTAAACAATAATAATTTCTTTATATAACTAAAAACTAATAACTATTTTTCATTATAATATACTACTAATAAACTTACTAACTAATTTTTTTATAATTTAAATTCAACAAACAAATATAACTTAACTATTTAACTAACACAAACTAATTAAATTTTTTTTATATAACTAACTATTAACAATACAAACTAATTATTTTTTTAACTATATAACTATCAACATATACTAATTAATAATTTTTAATTTATGTACTATAACTTAAACTAACAATCATATAACCTAAACTAATAAACTAATTAACTACTTTTTGTTAACCCTAAACCTAAACTAACAAATTAAACATTATAATAATAAACTAATTTAAATATAAAAATTTACTTATCTCCCTTTCTTCTTCTTACTTTCCTTTCTCCCTTTCTTTTCTTTTTCTTTTTTTTTCTTTCTTTCTTTCTCGGCTGCAATCTCTTCTCCCTTTCTTCTGCAATCTCTCTCCTCTTTCTTTCTTTCTTTCTTTATAAACCGGCTGCCTCAATTATTTCACCAATTGTACAATTGCAGCTATGATATCTCATCTGATTTCACGCGTTCAATTATTGTACCAATAATCAAATGGTTCACATGCCTCAAATGGTTCACATGCATGCATTGGGAGGTGTAGGCATGCAGCGGGGGAGCACGTGAAGGAATCTATGTGGCTGTGTGCATGGCTGTGGGAATGGCGCCGGGCTACATGGCGACCTACAAGGTCGCCGGGACTACATGGACCTACAAGGTCGCCGGACTACATGGCGACCTACAAGGTCGCCTAGGCTGCATGGCGACCTCTCTATTCCTGCATGCTCCCATTGGCTCGTATGGCTCGTATATGGCTCGTTGCATGCTCCCCATTGGCTCTCTATTCCTGCATGCTCCCCATTGGCTCGTATATGGCTTGTTGCATGCTCCCCATGGCTCGTATATGGCTCATTGCATGCTCCCTATTGGCTCTCTATTCCTGCATGCTCCCCATTGGCTCGTATGGCTCGTTGCATGCTCCCCATTGGCTCGTATGATCGTATATGGCTCGTATGTCACCCTCGTATGTCACCCCGTATGTCGCCTGGATTGCATGGCGTCCTCCAAGGTCGCCTGGATTGCATGGCGTCCTCCAAGGTCGCCTGGATTGCATGGCGTCCTATGGCGATCACTGTTGAAATCACCCCATTCCAACAATTAATCTGGGATGTGCACCATATCGTGAAAAAAAAAATTCGAGAACATTATCTCGTGAATTCACCCGTGGAAATCCCCAAAAAATATCTGCGAGATTACGTGTTACCACTGTTACATCTGAAAGGAACTGAAATTGAAGTTTATATCTTTTCTCATTTAATATATGTTGATTTGTTGAGATCGAAAATTGTTAAGATTATACATATACATTGGGTGTTAGATGAATATTGACGTTTGAAACTTTCATTATATATAGAGACAAATTTGAGACAATCTGATATCTTACAAGTTAAAGTGTTGCATTAATTAAAAAATATTTATTTATTTTTTGGGATGGAGATTAACCGAAACCCACAGGGATCCGTAAGGGATAGATATGGGGAGAAAAAAATCCCCAAAACATATAATGGGAATTTGCCAAAATCGCACCCCCAAGTGTTAGGGACGGAATGGGTAATGAAACATTGCCCTCGCCCGCCCCGTTGCCACCCTTATTAAAGGGTATAATCGCTCTTTGCTTTCACCAAGATGTGGTTTGAAGTTGGATTTACATAAAGCTTTTGACTTTGTGGATTGGACATTTCTCTTTGTTGCGTTAGAAGTTCTTGAGATGCCTACGATGATGGTTACTTAGATTAGGGAGTGCATCTCATTTATGTCTTTCTCTTTTTTCTCTCAATGAAGGTTTAGTTGGATTTTTCAAAGGGGCTAAAGGGGTAAGGCATGGTGATCCTTTATCCCCTTATCTATTTGTGATTACAGTGAATGTCTTGTCTAAGCATTTAGATGAAGCAATTGAGTATGGTTTGATGCAATACTACCGAAAAATGTCATAGGGTCAACTGATCAATCTTTGTTTTGCTGATTGGCTTGAAGGGGACTTTCAGTTTTGTTGTTGGAGTTTGGGAGATGCTTAAAACTTTTCATATGTTTTCAGGGCTGCACATGAACTCGAACAAGTCTAAGATGTTCTCCTCGGGGATTGAGGCTGAAATGTTGTATAATATTTATAAGGTTATGGTATTTAGAGTGGCGAACTTCTGGTTACGTATCTTGACATCAACTCATTGCCAAAAGACTCATTATTAGTAAAAATGTTCAAATCAGGTCATCGCATTTCAGGCACCTAAAGTACTACGTACTCTGGTTGTTATGGTAATAAAAATCAGCCCATGATCCAGCCCGTAATATCAGGGTACCCGTAAGTCGGATACCTGCATAATCAGGGTACAGGCTGGTTCGATATTAGGGTACTCAGGTCTTTCTTTACAAATTCTACAGTAAACGATTCTACACTAACAAATTTTGCATACAAAAAATTATACACAACCAAATTATGCAGTAAACGATTCTGCACACAAATTAAGCACAAAAAATTTCTACACTAACAATTCCTCACTAAAAAACTATGCACTAATTTTTACTGAAAATTTAAAATTCGAACATTTAGACACTTAAAAATCTAAATTATATAATTCAAAAACATAAAGTTCAAAAAGGCAAATTACATAATCCAAATAAAAATTAAATGTTGAAAGTCTGAAGAAAATGCAACTAAAGAGATATATTTCATTGCTCTAAAACTTCGTTTGTCTCATCGATGATAATTGTGGGTTGCTCCGAAGTCAAAATCTTTCATTTTTACATAAAAAACATTACAATATATGTCAATATATATTATATGTTAGAAATATAATTATTTAAATATATAATATATGTAGATAAATATTATAAAATAAAATTAATAAATTTGGAATCGAAAACTTTCTTTTATGTTCTCTAATGCTTGCAATCTCTTTTCTATCAGGATGGGTTAATGAGAAGCACGGATCCAATATTGAGTAAATAAGAGTTTCCACCAACCCAGGAGTCAAAGAGGTGCGAGGGAATCAATAACACGTCGTTCCGTGCTAAAACGAACTTTGAAGCAACGGTAGAAACCAAATCGAAAGTATATCACGTGTCATACTCATAAGATAAGATAAGTATTTGTTTACACATACCACCAAGCTAAGATATCAAATTATCACTAGCACAATCACATTATCCCCCAAATGCCTATCTAGCTCGGTTGTTGTTTTAGAAGTGTCATATAATTCTACCTCTATACATAATATTTTCTCAAATTTGTTTCAACTTCCTTATTTCTCCTTCACCACATGACCACTAGAATTAGGACTCAAAGAGCATAATCTCATTTGAGTTGAAGACGAATGCGAAGAAACAAAAATCAAACAATGATGTCAAATTATCTTTAATCTATGGACACAAGATATAAGAGTTATTAGGATCATAACAACGAGACCCATCCTCAACATAACTCCACTTATGCCTAGGATCAAGAACTATCATCACCATTTTTTTAGTCCAACAGATTTAATATCCAAAATAAACATTCCAGTCCATATAGATACAAAATAATAATAATAACCCATTACAAATTCCCCAAACCCGTTGAGGCCCAACAAGCCCTTTAATCCTGCCACCTGGCCCAATGACCCAGACCAAAGGGTTACAAAAAACTTAGTTTGATTTTCCCTCTCAGCCGTCGCCCTCTCATAACCTTCTAAGAGGTGGTCTCCAGTTGGCAACGTGAAGAAGACTCCGCACCTCACCGCCACGTGCGAAAGAGACAGTGGTCCTCGGTCCCTTTCAGCCTTCACGCACGGAGGCTTCGAACAGTGGTCCGCTGGCATAGAGATGCCCAACATGGTCCCATTGGCCTCTAGTGAAGCCACAACAGCCATAACAACACCAGATCAGCAACATCAGCCCCGTCAGCACCAAATCACCATGCAAAAGGAATTTTAATTTTTACGTTTTACCATTGTAACCTCAGATCGGATATAAAACCCACAAAATTATCTATAAAAAATAGATGGCAACCATAATCAAAAAATAGAAAAAAAGAGTTTTTTTAGCATTCTCGAAAGGCATTTACCATCTTTTTTAGATTTCCAGTACCTTGCATGTGTGTTGTGTTGTTTCATACAAGAAAAGAAGAGACCTTATTACCTGAGGCATTCGGATAAATTCTTAGGGACCCATGTCGCTCATGCAAAGTCACCGCCACCGAGGATTGACAGTTTCTGTGCATAGGGCATCTTCAACTTCTTCCGTGTTGAGTGGGGCTTCATCGCAGGAAAAATAGGAGTCGTCAGAGAGAGTGAAGCCGAAGAGTCATTTTGGATTTAGATGGGTTTTAAGGTTTTGTTTCGTGTTTTGACCGAATCGGGTTTTAGGAGAGTGAGGCAAAGGCAGTGAGTCTTTTTCGGGGTCGATTTGGGTTATCAGACCACCGTGAAGGGTAGCTGGAGGTGGGTAGGCACCACCGCCGTACGGTGGCCACAAGCTTCTGACAGCCGAGAGGGGAGAGTTTTTGAGGGAGTAGAGAAAAAAAGGAAGTTTTTTTTTGGGGTTTAGGGTTAAAATGATTTTAAAACAAAAAATGATGCATTTTATATTGGTTTTTTGGGAAATTTGATCTTAAGTCCCCCGAATTCACGTGTGTTTTAACAGTTTGGTCACTTGATCCTCATTTTTTTATTTATTGCAATTATAATTCATATATTTACATTTATTTCATTTTAGTCATCTATTTCTATTTTTTATTAATTTCTATTTTTTTGCTATTTTTTCGTTTTATTACATTTCAATCCATGTTTTACTTTTATATTTAATTCCCTATCTTCCAACTTATTAACCTTTTTCATTTTTGTATTAAATCATTCTACGATCTTGTGGTGAGCTGCTCTAGCCTAAGATCCACATTATTTATGGTACGGACAAAATTCTAAAATAAACGCAAACTTTTAACTCACTAACCGCTAACTTTTATTTATTTATTTACATTTATGAACTTTATTTTTCTTATTATTTACATTTTTGCCCTTTATTTTATTTTTGCTATTTACATTTAAGGACTTTATTTTTCTGCTATTTAGATTTCTATCTTTTAATTTTATGTACTTTAAATTTTTTTCCTTTAAATTTCGAGCATTTGTATTTCAGATCCTTTTAAATTTTAGCATTTATTTTTCTATTTACTCTTTTTAGTTTAAGCTTTGTATTTTATTGTGCCTTATTTTTAGCCCTTCATGTTTTTAGCTTTGTTCATTTCTAGTGCATGTACTTTGTTTAGTATTCATTTCAATAAATAAAGGCATTCTTTTATATGGGTAATATATGGAAAAGTCTCCCAGATACAAGGGAAATGTGTTTCCAATGATTATTCGTGTAAAAGAATTTCTTTTAAATGGACCATAACTTAAATATCATCGAATTTACAATTTTCAAATATAAAGATGACGTATAATGAACATGTATCGATTTCGGGGGCACTGTAGATGTGCTCATCCTTCCCCCCGCATAATCAACTCTCAAAACCTTTTCAAAAATAATTTCTGGTTAAACGCATGTTGGTTTTTGTCTTTTAACTTGATTTTTCTTAAAATTATTTTAAAATATATTTTTAGGTATTTGACCTATCTAATCCAAAGGTTGATTGGGACTCCAAATCATTTCTTTTCCAAACCACTATCTTTTCAAATTTAAGTTGGTTTGATCCCATTCCAGCTCCATGAAAAAACTTAAGAACCATTCCGACGACTTGGTGACTCTGCTGGGGATACATACTGAGTCAGGCTATAGTTGTATTTAAAAATTGTAAATTTGAGTAGTATTTAAATTATGGTCCTTTTTTTTGTTTTGCATTTCATATATTATTTTTATTTGCTTATTACTAATAAATAGTTGTACTAATATCTGATTTCCTAATGTTTTAGATTTCTGATTTTCTTCTAATTCTAGATCGATGCAAAGTATTTTGGGTTTCCCCTGGCATTTTGTAACCCACTAGGGTACTAAGAGCCTACGTATTGTGCTATGTCCCATTAAGTAGGGGAAAAAGCTTCGCCTTCTTTGGAAAACTGGTTCTCCGCATGAGCCTTAGTTATTAGCCTCTGGGGTTCATACCTTATGCCTTCGTGAGAAAATTGGTTCTCCGCATGGACATAGGGATATATATCCTCTCGAATTGAACTTGGTCCGTTTAAGGTTGTAGTGGGTGAGGACCGAGGGTCTGAAAGGCACAAGGGGCACCATCAAATTACAATTCGATGGCCCTTTAGTAGTATTAAAACAATGTTCGTTTTGTCCCAAAGTTCTACCCGTTTGTACTGAAACTCTGCATGAAGTTTCAAAAGGGAAACTCACTCTAACCTTTGCTTAGATTTACCTTTTGTAAAATGCATGAGAACTAGAAAAATATGTGGTTAGGTTTTATATTTTGTACAAATCACGTGATCTAGAAAAGCATGCGGTTAGGATTTATTTGTCAAACAAATGCATGTGGCCAGAGATCATGTCTAGGTAGGACCTATTGAACCATATTTGGGTAGATAGTATGTGAGGTTAGGTTTTATTTTTTAATGATATTTCTCACTATTATGTTAATTATCTTAGTAGGTCCTAACATATCTTCTGTTTCGAATTCCTTTCTTCCTTGCATTTGTATCATCATGACATTTTCATCATCATGACGAAAATGTGTTAATCCAAAAAAGTGGTGACAAAAAATGGAAGGTTTTTGTATCGACACAAGGGCTCCATAGTTAGGTAGTCAAATCCAGACGATCGATGATATATAAAAGGAGTTAACTGATGAAGTAAGAGCTTAGAGCTGATCAAGAACTCTCATGAAAGGCATAAAGTTTGATATGATATCAAAAAGTCAGATTTTAACTGGATTAAGAACGAGTAGACCCTACCTAAGGTCCTGAAGAACAATTCCTCTTGGAGAAATCCCATAAAGTGGAGGATTAAAGATTCAACAATTATAGTGGTTTCAACATTATCAAATGCAAGAGACAATTTAACATTAGATTCGTAAAGAGCCCGACCAGAGACATGAAGAAAATAAATCTTGTGAAATTGGCTATCATATATGAGGAGAATTTGTGACATGAATAAGATTTTCCTAATGATGGCCAATAATTGGAATTTGCACCTTTTGCATTTGCATACATCCATTGTGCATTAAATTTTGTATTGTGCAAATTTATATTTAAACCGTGCATTAAACAACATTTGTATTGTGTATGTTTATAAAATCATACATTAAAGCATTCATTCATTTAATAAAGCATAAAATAATAAGATAAGGTTTCTGATCGCAATGATGCGAGCCCTTACTAGCAACAAGAACACTCTGCACTCGTGCAATATTGGGAAGATGACTAAAGAAGTTAATGATTGATTTGCCAAGGTTGAGGAGCAGAATGAAAGCAAGAAGAAGTGAGAGATCGATTAGCCAAAATTGAGGGATGAAATGTTAATTTCAGTTGGATTTATTGAATAAGATGTAAAAGATGTTCAAAATGCACATGACTACTGAAAAGAGTCTTGCTGAAGACCCTACACACCCTCCATATTTTGTACTTTTTTATATTCTAATGCCTACCTTGGGGTATCAAGAAACCACAAACTTTCTTTGTTATTGAGAACCCATCGCAACATCAGGCTGGAACTTTCATCCGTACTAACTGTACTGTTGTGTCGAGAGAAAAACCCAGTGGTTCTTATGTTAATAATAAGTTCCCATATCTAAATAAAAAAACCAAGAATGACCTCACCCAACAACTAAAAATTTTAGAGGAAAAGATAAAATCAAGGGAGATGACTGAGTCTTTTTGTGGGTTCGATACTAAATAATTGAGCCTGGTCCCGACCTAGTCCTTCTGTCGAAGTTCAAAATTCTCAACTTCGAGAAATATGATGGAACTACATGTCCTTTATCCCACATCACCAAGTACTATCAAACAGATGGTAAGATATATAGATAATGAGAAGCTGTTGATCCATTATTTTTAAGATAACTTGAGCGGACCCATTTTCAGGTGGTATAATCAGCTGAGTCGTACTTAGATCCGTTCTTGGAAAGACTTAACTCAAGCCTAATTAGGTCAGTACAAACATATGATGAACATGGCTCATGATCAAACAACATTGTAATATATTTAGATGAAGCATAATGAGATATTTCTATAGTACGCACAACAATGGAGGGACATAGCATCCCAAGTGCCTCTTCCTGTGACTGAAATGCAGTTTACCTTTTTGTTTGTTAATACTCTTTATATTGATCGCATGATAGAGGGCTTCTACCAAGAGTTTTTGTGACATTGTCATTTATGGAGAAATAATCAAAAGAGTCATCAAGAATGGTAAAATAGGGGGCACTAGTAGTGTTGGTGCCTAGACAAGAAAAGAGGTCAATATTATGAGATCTATTCAACCAATCATGGGACCAGATACCATAAGGGATATGAGAAAAGCCTCTTATTGGCCAATCCTAATGGTGTACGAAAATTACTCCCAATACTAGTTGATAAGAAACCTACTGACTATAGTCTTTCCAAACCAAGAAACCCCCATTCTTGAAGGCTATGATGTTAATGCAGTATGTAGATACTATATAGGAAGATAAGGACACACTATGAGGATTGTGGGGCATTGAAGCACAAGGTTCATAATCTGATCGATTCAGGGGAATAGTCCTTTATGAGTGATGTTAATGCAATATGTAGCTACTATAAGCTATTGCATATCATAAACATTTGGTGCACTTGCAAGCATATATTATCTTGTTTATACTTGTTTTTCTTTGTTTCTTTTTATGACATGTAAGTCGCTTGACTTTCGAATATATTAATTAAAATGCTACTTTTTGAGGTTATGAGCAATGGAAAAATTTTAATCTAAAAATTCTTTAAATATTAACTGAATTAAATGCTCTCTTGAGGAAAAAAGTTATAGTTTCTTTGGCAAGTGATAAGATTTAACCCTTGTAAAACACATATCCCTGATCTTACTTAAGATGTACACCCGAACATCATATTCTTTTATTACAAGGATCAAGATAGCATTCTCCTCTTACGAAGAGACAATCAAAGGGCTTGGCATTCAAGTGTGTATAGGAACGGACAAGATGGGGCATCTACTACATATAATGTTACAAAGTTGATTGGATTATGCTTCTATTGAGGACGTTCAATGATGATCTTAATCTTCATAGATAGAATAGTGGAGTAGATGAATTTGGTTTAGTCCAGTTGTTTAGGAATTGAAATCTAAATATGAGATTTCTTGATTATCAATGGCATGCAAACTATAATAGTTCTTCTCAATTAGCTTAAGAAATTTTGAAGCTGGGTACTCAAGGCTTGAGGTAAAACAAGCATAATAAAATGGGGCCACTTTGCTGAAAACAGTAAGATGATAAATTGAAGGTAATTTCAAACAACTATTGAGGTATGTCTGAGCTTCATGAAGTGGTTATATTTAAACTGTGACATTAATTGTGTCATGATCAATTTCCTGATGCAAGAGAAAAAATGAGAAGAAATAGTTA